TTCATTAGTGAGAGCCATCAAGCTGAAGGGGATGGAAGCACACAAGTGGAGGAGAAGGTGGGCTATGACATAATCACAGATAGGTCTCAGTTAATGTCACCTGTAATCTGGAAGCTGGCTGGCCCTTCATATTTGTACCTAGTTGGAGGAAGAAGCTACATTTTTATACCCTGTGCTTTGCTTGTCATTGGATATGAGCTCTCTTTGGAAGCCAATCTTGCACGGCTGACAGTTTTTACTCTACAACTACTCTTCACTATAGTAGGGGGAATAAATTTCCAGTCCTAACATGAGGACCTGGACTGCCTGTTGCTGTGCACACAGCATAATTCCACATAACTGCTTTACACTGCTCACCATCCATGCACATGTTTTCCATGGTAATTATTTCCTGTGTTAATCTTAGATCTCAAGCATTTGATACACATGAAAACATTCTAACTTCCACCACTCACTGGGTTGAAATAAACAGTAGAGTAGTTTAGCAATAGATGTTAGCAGAACTTTTTATGAGAGTAGTGGTTTAACATATAAATTGTACCACAGCAAATTAATCTTTTAGAAAATAAAGACAAATGGAGAGTAATTTCAAAAGAGCCTCTTTTCTTGCTCCGGCCCCATGGAATGGAAATACTTATTAATAAGAGTATCAACTTGTCAAATTTGCTTGGTGTGGTGCTCCAGAGCTACAGCAATATTACCAGCATCCTGCAGAGGCTCATCTATCTAAGTTGCTTTAATCTCTTGATTTTCTTTATAATAAATAGTTCTGAAGCAGTGACATTGTACTTTCCTGAGCTGAGGCATATCTGAATAGATTCTATAGAATTCAGCCACCTGTGGATGTGCTGTGGCCCATCAATTATTTTATTCGTGAAAATCTCAGCTGTTTTTAAAAATTACCATTTCTTTTTTGTTTTTTAAATTTGAAAAAAAAGTTCCATGACAGGTAATGAGAAATTCAATGTAAATTTTGAAATATGATTTCAGGCTTTCTTTTTCAGCCTCCTTTACATATGAACTAATTATTTAGTGGAGGAAATGACTGGCATAAACTGAAAGATACATTCAATGAGACCCTTTTGTTTCTACAGTAAATAAAAGTGATTGTTGTGAGAAAATGATCAATGTCCCCATCGGTAGATTCACATCAAAAAATAATTAAATGGACAATGAACTTGTAATTAGCCAGAAAACATTAGATGCAAGTGGGATGTCAAAGTTGGTATAGATGGAATCTGTCACCTTATTCATAGGCTCCAGGTGAAAACAGTGATTCAGGATGCTATTTTGGCAAGTGGTACAAGCATTGCTCAAAATGTAATAAAAGTTGGAGAGACATTTTGAAGAGATGAACAGGAAACCTAGAATTCCCTATTGGCAATATGATTAGGAAAAAGATCTTGGAAACCAAGAAAACATTTCCATATTCTAGAATTTGAAGATTGAAGAAAGCGTTCAGCATAGCTCTTTCTAATGTTGAGGTTATGCTGTACTTGGCTGTCCAACCTTTCTCTACTTTTACATCCACCAATAAATAAAATTCTCCAATTTTTCTACAGAGATGTTGAAAGAATGATATGGCTACTGTTTTCTCCTTTGGTTTCTGGGCATTTGCATTTTCATTACATGCCCAGATAGTTTCTCTGGGTAGTAAGAAAGAGTATTCAGGTCTGTGAAGAAAATCATATGTAATGAGACTGTGTAGTGCCCGTGACCTTGGAAGAGAAATACATAATTGTAACTGTCTGAGTAGCTATAGGGGAAGGAGATTTTATAGTAGATCTTACTTTTATTTCAATTAAAGTTTTTGTGGAATGTTTACTGGCCAATTCAACAGATTCAAATTTCTGCCCAAACTCAGTTATACACCCATAAAGTAGAACTTATTTGTAAATCTGAACTTATCTCCCTTGGAAATCAGTTCCCATGGTTCTCCATGATCTTATCAGGTCAATGCCTGAGATAGTATCATCTGAAACAGCTGAGTTCCACCTGTCTCTGCGAACCTCTAGGCATTTGTTGGTGATGACTACACAAGCGTTCATGTCAGAGTGGACATCCTGCATCTCTGAACGACTTTTTATTTTTTTAACTTACACAACAGAAAGTGTTTTCTAATAATACATATTTCTGTTAGTATAACTTCCTGTTTAAAGGAAACTTCTGCATAGCTGTAGTTTATACTTACGGTGTGACCACAGGAAACATATACTCTAGTTTCCCCACAGGACTGAGTTGAGTCGTGCTCAGCCACAGTCCCTGGGGTAAGAGTAAGCCCGGCTATAGATGTGATGACTGTTAATGCTGCTGGTGGCCGCTTACCTCTTCAATAATAATTGCCATGATGGAGCCTAAGTACTACAAAAGATGTGACTCCCCCTTGGAAGGCAGAATGTCACAGATCTACAAAAGCTGGTCCTTTGGAACTTCAATTTATACTTGTGCAAAATATATTTTGTTCCTGTGAAGGAATAAACCTGAAAAGTAGAAAACAAAAGTAAAGTCTACTTCTAAATCTATGTTGCTGGCTCAGGCTTTGTTGACAACCAAGATTGGTTTTTTGAGGAAAAAGTAGCTAGAAGATTCTATTTGGAGTTATTAAAAAATTGAATTATATATGAAGTGATTCACCTTGGAATCAAACTTTATTCCCAGATTGTCCAAACAAGTATCTAAAATTGCCAAAGAAACACAATGATACAAGTTCTTGGAGAGTGTCATTCGGAAAACGGACCAATAAATGAAATGAAATTTCAAGAGCTTCAAGTAGTTATGAGGATATCAATATACTTTAGATTGTGTAAAATCTTGCCAGGAATTTTTACTGAACTGAAGCCAAAGCTCACCAGGCAGCACAATGTCTTATAAAGAGCTGATGGCAGAAACAGCATCCAGTGCTTATGTCCAAGTGTTCTCCAGGAACCCCCGAAATCTTAGTACAGTAATATTTGTAGGATTCAAGGCAAATGTGGGGTTTGTAAAGCATTACTTTAAGGTTTCTTATGGGACATTGCTCATTCAGTCACTTAGTCTTCCTTTATTAAATAACCACCACGTCTGGGGAATTGTGACAGGCATTAGTGATACATGGTCCACAGTGACCAGAGTTTCACAGTGTTGAACAAGAAACACATGGATTACATTTTTTTGGTTTTCATTTAGGTATAAATTACATAAGATAAAATTCATCAATTTTAAGCATACAGTATATGCTTATGCTGTATGCATATGCTGTTGGTAAATATATCCACTTGTGAACCATCACTAAAATAATAACATAGTCACATTGCCATTGCCCCAAATGCTCCTTAGCTCTACTTTGCTGATGATTACCTCATTCACCCAATACTCACAGCAATAATGGTTTGTTGCAAGAGTTTTGTTTCTTTCTCAAATTTCTTATAAATGGAGTGAGATGGTATATAGTCCCTGTGTTTGGCTTTTTGCGCTTGGCATAATGTTTTTGGGATTCATCGATTTTCTCTTTTTTGTTTATTTTATTTTATTTTATTTATTTTTTTTTGAGACAGAGTCTCACTCTGTTGTCTCAGGCTAGAATACTATAGCATCATAGCTCACAGCAATCTCAAAATCCTGAGCTTAAGCAATCATCTTACCTCATTCTCTTGCTCCTGAGTAGTTGAGACTACATGTGTGCACTATCACATGGGGGCTAGTTTTTCCATTCTTAGTGTAAACAGGGTCTTGCTCTTACTCAGGCTTGTCTCAAACTCCTAAGCTCAAGCAATTCACCCACCTAAGTGCTGGGATTATAGGTGAACTCAAATCCCAGAGTGCTGGCATAATTAGTGTGAGCCACCAGCCCTGGCCCTGAAGAGATTAATCCATTTTAAGGCAAGTATCAGTAGGTTTTTTTGGTTTTTGTCATTTTATTTATTTATTTATTTATTTTTTTGAGCTAGAGTCTATGTCGCCCTTGATAGAGTACTGTGGCATCACAGCTCACAGCAACCTCAAACTCTTGGGCTTAAACGAATCCCTTGCTTGTGTTCAGTTTTTGGCTATTATTAATAAAACTGGTATGAACGTTCACATGTGAGTTTTTGTGTGAACATACATTTTTATTTCTCCTGGAATACTTAAGAGTAATAATGTCTAGGAATTGGGATATATGTTTAACTTTGTAAGACACTGCCAAACTGTTTTATAAAGTGGTTATGCTACCTTACATTCTCACCAGAAATACTTGATAATCCAACTGCCTGTCATGTTGAGTGGGTGTGCATTGGTTTTTCATTACTGTTTTATTTTGAAGTTTTCTTCTGACTAATGATGTTCACCACTTTTTTGTAATGTGCTTACTTTTTATTCAATTTCTTCTTTGTGGAAATATTCTTTTAAATATTTTGCTTATTATTATTTTTTAAAGTTAGATTGTATGACTTCTTGGAATTGAATTGTAAAAATTCTTTATATATTCTGTATAAAAGTCCTTTATCATATATATGTTTTGAAAATATATTCTCCTAGTATATGCCTTGACTGTTCACTTTCTGAACAGTGACTTTGGAAGAGCAAGTGTTTTTGACTTTGATGAAGGCCATTTATTAGCCAGTCCTTTCCATGACTTTCCTTGACAAAGCAAATTTTGAACTTTGCCAGTTTAAAAAAACATTTTCTGACGTGAATCAAAGTAAAATGATAATTCTCTATGGATGAAAAAAGTCTTAGAATAGTCATGGTTAAAGAGATAATTGGTAAACAAAGTTGGTTATTTTGTTGCATACAATTTTTACCATAATAACCATATTATTACTGATAATGTACATTAAGACATATCAATATTTTACAATATTAGAATATATATTAATAACATATATACAAACATAACCCAAAGAAAATTAAGCACAATTTCATATTTGACAATATTTCCTGTACAGTTTTAACATATCAGATAAACCTGATATGCTTCTCTTAGACTTTCCAGTGGCCCTAATATTTAAAAAGCTAGTTTGAGATAAAAAAAACTGGATTTAGTGCTTGCTTCAGCAGCACATATACTAAAGTTGGAATGATACAGAGAAGATTAGCATGGACCCTGCACAAGGATGACAGACAAATCTATGAAATGTTCTATATTTTTAAAAACCCAAAAAAACTGGATTTAGAATTTTGATTTTAGAAAGTTTGTAAAATATCAAAGATAAAAATGCAAAACATTTGTTCAAATAGAATCACAAGTTGCTATAAAATAATGGTTGTTTATTTAACCAAGATTGATAATCAGCAAAGAAAACTCTAAAAGTGATATAGAAAGTTATATAAAATTTAGTTTCTCTAGTTAGTCCAAACACTAATAAAGACAACACAGGGCTTATCTTGATAAAATTTATTATCTTTTCTTCTTTTAGGCCACTTGCCAAAATGGTAAAGAAAACCCTTCTGTTGTGTGTGTGTGTGTTTTAAGGAAATAGGTCATGAAATTTCATTAAGAGCAAATTAATATCTTAAGAAAACTTTGTTGTTTTAACCAAATTTTTATAAATTATAGCCAAATGGATCACACACAAAATTCCTGCCTAAAGTCCCTCTCATGAACTTCATTCCAACTTGCCCAAGACCATCTCTAACATTCTTTAAGCTCTCTATTTCTGTCTCAAATTTCCCTTTCCTCAAACAGCCATATGAATTGTCATTTTGGGACAATAATTCCCATATAAGATCCTTTATCATATAATAATATTCTTTCTGTTTAACCTTTCTTATCAAAAACACATTTCTATATTCACTGCCATTCCACAGCTCTTTCTTACTTACTATTTTTCCATATTGTTTCCCTTCTCTTCTCAAACCTGTATTTTTAATCAGTCTTTAACCTCTGAATTAGACAAAATTCTATATACATTTAATAGGACACATTTATGCTTCCTTTATGATTTTTCTTATTAAAAATATATCTTATTCTTTGGTGTACTGATATATACTAGAATCACATGTATTGATTATAATTCTTATTTTTAGTTAACTTTATATTTTTGGGGAAAACTTAAGCAAAATGTCATGAATTGTCTGTCATAAGACACTTTTCATAAAAGAAGATCACAGTTTACTATAAAATTAGTCATTCGCTTAGCCAAATTGATAATTAAAATGTTTTAAAGAGCACAAATCTTATTCTGTGATAGAGAGAAAACTCAGTTTCCCAAGCAATCACAAGAATTGATGTAGACAAACTGAAATGCACACTAGTGAGGAAGCAAAAGGAGTCTCTCTTTCTTTCTTCTCCCCACTGTCTGCATTTTATTCAAAAGGCAACAAAAATATTTTGTTACCTTTACTAACCATATGAAAATCTTGTTCAAAAGAGGAAACCAAATTTCAGCATTGTGTTAGTGTACTAATGGGAAAGCTAATTTTAATTCTAATCAATTTGACTATAAGTCAAACTTTTCATAATCTTTATTTTTAACTTTTATACTCATTTAGTTTTTATCATCATTTACTTATTTAGTATAAAACCATTTTTAAAACTCGTAAATTATAAAAATTATACTTTTCAATAAAACGTAATATTTCTATGTCTATTTAATGAATGGTGCTGAGAGAAATTTCTATGTCTATTTAATGAATGGTGCTGGGAGAACTGGCTAGCTACATGTAGAAGACTGAAACTGGACCTGTACTTCTCACTGCTTATAAAAGTTGACTCTCACTGGAAAAAGACTTAAATTTAAGACATGAAATGAAAAAATTCTAGGAGAAAGTGTGATTAAAAACTCTCAATAATACTGGCCAGGGAAAAGATTTTATGAGAAGACCCCTTTGGCAATTTCAGCAACACCAAAAATAAATAAATGAGATATGATGAAACCCAAACCCTTCTGCACGGCTAAGGGCATAACAACTAAAGCAAACAGACAATCTTCAAAAAGGGAGGAGATATTTGCATGCTATAAATCTGACAAAGGGCTGATAACTAGAATGTACAGAGAACTCAAACTAAGAAAAGAGCAAACAATCCTATCTATCATTGGGCAGGAGACATGAACAGAACCTTCTTTGAAGAAGAAAGACTGTGGTATATGTATGCCACTGAATACTGTTCAGCCATAAAAAGATGGAGACTTTACATCTTTTATTTAACCTGTACAGAGTTAAAGAGCATTCTCCTTAGTAAAGTGTCATAAGAATGGAAAGCAAGTATCCAATGTACTCAATACTAATATGAAGCCAGTAGATGAACTAATACACATCCACACAAGAGAAAAACTCTGGGTGGGTCAGTTCTATTTGGGCAGTTCCCTCCATTTGACTCTATCATCCTGGTCTTTTTAGTAAATTATAAGGAGGTGGGATGATAGACATGATATCTATTTGACTACTTCCTGTAGGTGAAGGGTGGTTTGGGCTGCCTGTAAGGAAAATGGGGGTAGGGGGGTGAGAGTGATCTTTACAGGAACATTCTTGGGTCTTCAGTTACTAGTCCAAAACTGAGAATGAGAAAAATCATAATTAGTGGCCCTAAAATAGGAAATAACCAAGGAGGCCATGATTCCAGCACCACTAGGTTGGAGTACCTGAGGGTGCAGTAAATTACCATCAATTCTCACCACTGAGATCCCATGTTTATTAGAAAAGAAACTTGCTTACATTTCACTAGCAAAAATACCTGAAATTCAAATTTTGTGATTGTCCAGGGGGCATTCTGATTTTCTGGGGATAGTCAGTCTTCCACAGCTAGGCTTAAAAGGTTGGGACATTTTGTTAGGTCCTGGGAGTGACTGTGAACCAGATCTTCAGAAAGACATGGGTAGTCAGACTTCTTATGGGGACCTCCACAGACTGGACACATTTGGGGTGGAGGGTCTGGATTTGGGCACTGCTTTGCCCACAGGCCTGGTTTCCTGCACTTAAAACATGGTCCTGGGGGAGATTTTGTTCTTTTAGAGTGCCCCAAAGAGTTTCAAGAAGTAGCTAGATTTCGCCTAATGGCAGAAGCCAATAACTGGAGTTCTGTGAGGCGCTGTTTAGACGCCTCTTCTTGGTTATTAAAGGCCTGAAATTCCAGGTCAATAAGTTCTCACTGGGATGTCTGAGGGCTCTGGGGGGATTTTTGGAGCTTTTTACCGATATTGGGTACAGACTGAGAGATAAAATGCATGTTAATAAGGTGGACGTGAGGATAACATATAAATCATGCCAGGTCAAATTATATGTTTGGGTTAGACATCTAAATTCTTGAGAATATTTTGTGGAATCTGTGGAGAATGAGCCTAGTTTTTGACTTATGTGAGACAGGTCTAAGAGAGAAAAAGGGACATGAACCCTGACAATGCCTTCTGTTCCTACAACTTCTTAGAAGGGATATAGAGGTTGTGGTGGGCTGGAAATGGAAGGCCCAAAGGTGTGGCTAGACCTAGTATGGGGAAATTGGGTCCACCATGATTCTTTTCTCTCCCAGTTTCACCATCTTTTCTCTCTCTATCACATATGGCAGAGGGCAGGTGGTGGGAGGTGGAGCGAGAAGGGAATGGGGTAGAATTCCGCAGGTAGGAATAAGGTTGAGGGAGAGGGACTGTGAAGGAGCAGAAGGGGAGGGTTGTCTGCTGGGTTGAAGGAAGACAATGGAGATTCAGATGAGTGGGGGGAGCGGGTTTGATACACACAAAGAAAATCTGAGAGGGTTCACAAGATGAACACAGAGAAGGAATGTTTCAGAGGAGGAAGAAAGGTTTGGATGTAGAGAATCTCTGACCATTTGCCTAATCTCTGACAGTAATTATTGAGATCAGTGAGGATTGAGAGCTCAATAGTGCCTTTTCCAGGCCATTGTGAGCCATTGTCTAGTTTGTACATAGGCCACACTGTATTACAGAAAAAGATGAGGCACTGAGGTTTAAGGTCAGGGTAGAGCCTTGGAGGCTTGAGATGAGTTAAAAGACAGCTTAAAGGTGAAGAATGGGGAATCTGTGACTGAGCAGTCTCCATATCAGAAACTAGAGGTAAAAAAATAAAATGAGGTTAAAGCGAGAATGTAAAGAGACCCTACAAGGAGGAGGAAGGAGGTGGCTGAAGGCTAGGGTCAGGAAGGTTACTAGGTCTCTTTGTGTGACCTTGAACTAGCTGGGAAAAAAAAATGGAAGAGGAGGAAAGAGGTGGCTGGGGCTGGGTCAGGGAGGTTACCAGGCATCTGCATGTGAAACCAGCTGGAGAAGTGGCCCAGACCTGTAGGAGGGTGTCCCACACATGCTGGATGGGCAAGTCTGACTCACCAGAGTGAGTCCCTGTGTGGCTGGGGCTGGGGTCAGGCCTCTGCATGTGAAACCAGCTGGAGAAAAGCAAGGCTGGGGTTAACCAGCTGGAAGAGTGGCCCAGGCCTATTGGAGGGCATCCCCCAAAATGAGGCTCTGGATGGGTGAATCTGACTCACCGAAGTTAGACATGGACCTCCCAATTTTTTTGGCCCAGAGTGGGAAAAGGGAAGAGAATTTAAAAAATCTCAGAGAGGGGCTATACATGACTGCTTAAGAAGCCCAGAGATGGAGGGAGAGGGAAAGAGGAGTTGGAGTGGGGAAAAGGAAAGAAAAGTTTAAAAAGTTCAGAAAGAGCTTTTAGACAAATGCTCATCTCACCATTAAATGGATGAATTTTGGGTGGGGGTCAAAGGGGTCCCCCATTTCCCCTTGTCTCGTTGGAACCAGGGTCCATCTAGTTGGGTCTGACAGGGTGTATCTCAGCCCCTCAAGGGGGCTTCTCCCCATCTCAGGTTCTTAGCACCAAAATGAGAGGTCAAAAATGGTGTTGGGTTCTGTGCCGGCAATATTGGCCTTTATTTCCACCCTGGTGCAGGTGAGCTGAGCTCAAGAAGGAATTCAGCACTGTGGATTAAGGTGGATGGAAATTAAAAGGGTCAGAAGGGTAGAGGTTGGCACATTCCTTTTTTCCTAGGTGGGATGTTCTATTGAGGTGGTACACTCCATTTGAGTGGGTCCTTCCCTTTGGCTCTATCACTATGCACACTTTGAATACTCGCCAGGATGTCGTCTGGTTCTTCTGGTTCCTTCTCTACTATAAATGCATTTAAGCACCACAGGTCTACAATGTCCCACTGGTAGAGATGATGCTAGAGGTGGCCCTCAGTCT